AACTCTATCCCAGCTGAAACCAGGACAGGTCCATGTGTCCCTTGGCTAAGCATGACAGGGGACGTGTCATCCTCAGCATGCTCTGCAGAGCGGTTTCATCCTGCACTCTGCAAAGCTGCTGCTCTTTGGGCTTTTTGAAGTGTTGTGTGTGCGCTCTGTGGTAGTGGCTCCTGCCCAGCACCCTGTCCCTCTGTGCAGGGGGAGAGCTCTGCTGGGAAACTTCCCTGGCCTCAGGCCAGTGGCAGGACGGTGTGTCCCGTGGTCCTGGCATGGGGCAGGGGTGGAATTGTGACCAGTTTGTACCGCCTGGAAAAAGGTGACTGAAAGCCACCACCACTGCAAAAGGTTGCGGCTGTTTGGAGTACCTCTCCCCTCTGATCCGTGGGGCTGGCACTACCTGCACTGCCATCCCAAGGGATGGCACTGCTTTGAGGAGGTCAGGGCTTGGTGTATCTCAGTTCCCAGCAATTAGCATCAGTTCCCACACCCATTTCGCCATCCCATCTCTGTCTATTCTTCCCGCAACACTTCAAGCCACTTATTTATGCCAAGGCATGGTCATGTTCTTAGTGTGCGTCTCCCCTTCCCCTCAGGAAGCAGCTGTGTTGGCATGTGGGGAACGGGGCTGGAGAGCACTGCCCTCTCCTCCTCGCTCTGACTTGACTCGTTATGTGGCTTAAAGTGAGATTGTTGTTTGATTTTTTGTTATTAACCTCTCTGTGCCTCAATACCCCATTTAGGAAAAAGAAAAAAAAAAAAAAAAAGGAAAAAAAGGGGCAACAGACCCAGTTCTGGAAAGCAGTTTGAGAGCTATGCTTTCCTGGGTATCTCTACATATCTCGCTGTTACTGCTTTTGTTCCCATTCAGCAGCTACACCCAGAAGGTGGAAGTGATGCTTGAGTCTCTACTAGGAAGTAGAGCTCTTTTTCCTTCAAAACAAACAAACAAACAAACAAACAAAACAAAAAAACCAAAAAAAACCCAACAAACAGGCAAATTGGCAGCACTCATTCACCCAACAGCTTTGGCTCCAGACCGCTGTGGTCCTTGGGGTCAGTACCCCACATCCAGCTGCTGTCACCCCATGTGCCTCCATTTGTGGCACTGGGCTACCACCGACCT